TGGATTCTACTCGTATAAGATGCTGAATGGGAGGTTTTAGATATTCAACACCCTGTAGATCGGTAACGAAACGTTTGCGGACCGATGTTATTATTTTTTTTTATTCTTGAAATATACCTAAAAATCACCTCCTTACGTATGTACAATATATTTAATAACAATGATATATGATTTTCATATTTTCATAAAACTTTACTTGTTTTAAGGTTCTTTATTCAACAATATAATTTTTTTTAACAAATATATCTACTTTAGAGAATACTTAAAAACTGAATGAGTAAAATTGTTCAGCTGTGTACAATTTAATGAATTTATTTTTCTTTATTTTATTACAGAAACAGAAACCCTTAATTTAATTAAGACAGTATCTTGAACTAATAATAGTCTATTTAAAAATCGGTATTTTTGCCATACACTGTATCTTCATATAACGCATTAATCAAGATAAATATAACTATAGATACCTACTTACCAGTTGGTTTGGGGTCTTTCCTAAGGAACTTTTTTTCCAAATATAGTATATCCGTTCGCGAAAAAAGAAAACCGTGAACTAAATTTCAAAATTTAAAATATAGGTTGCGGAACGTAATCCAATTTAGCCTTAGAGAGGCCATACGATATCGTCATAATTAAGTCATAAGAATGTCTGTGATATAAGGTGACAAAGTAAATCGATAAGCTATTTTTACCTTCCGAATCAATGAATGGAAAGTCACACGATTTTTTTTAGACTAAACTTATTTATACAATAGTTAAATAAAATAAATTCCAGTTCTCAAACGTGACTAATTTAAAGATAAACATAATGAAAAAGAAAAACTCAAAGAACGGGTTTGTCATTATTAGGACTCATCAGCAAGAAATAGACATTCTGGATTCCAATCTCTAATAGAAACTGTAGATATGTTATACTACTTCGCTACTCAAGGCTTATTTTCCAAACTATTTCTTGCTGATAGATCCTAATAAGGACACAATGTATGACGTTCGCCTTAGTAAGCAAAATCAAAGTTATAGTACTAAAATTCAATTTTTGTCTTTGCTCTCATTCCTTTGGATATATTTTAATACCTGTTGCGGTATTAGCGAAACAGGTAGTTGTTTTTAGGGGAGAAAAGGTCGCTCGATGTATGTTTCTGTGACACGTTTTCCTCTTTTTGTTTTTAATTTTATTTATTAACGTGAAAGCTTGAGTTGGAAATTAATTTATTAACGTTCCAATAATTTTTTATCAAGCAAAGCAAACTTTTTGGTATATGGTAGTATCACAGCATAATTATGCAATACAAGCTAGATATTGTTTATATTTTTTACTGTAAATAATAACCTTTTTTAATGTTTACTAGTTATCAGTTGTTTGTTTCATTTTGTAGTTTAGGCGATACAAAACACAAAATATCTTTTAAATTATGACAATAGGATTAAAAAATCTTTAATTTCTTATTCTTTAAAAATTCAACTTTTATATAAAAATTTAAAAATGTTTAGTGTTATAGTGTAAGAAAGTCTTAAGAGTACCAATTATTATTGAGTAGGTACCTTACCTACTATTAATTTTTTAAAAAGCTATTGCTAAAATCTTTGTTACCATAGAAACAACTGTCAAAACATAGAAAGAAGAAACAAGGGATTTAAAAGTAAACATGTCAAACAAGGGGATCCCTACATACGGTGAAGTTGTTCAGGTAACGAAAATCCAACAATTATCAGCTATCCGCAAACTAGAAAAAAATCAGAGAACATAATAAAAGCCATGAAAACCACACCAAACAGAGCCATGGAAGTGATTTTTAGTTTCACTCCCCTTAATATTTACATTACGAAAATAGACATTATGAGGGAAGAATGAGACAAAAATATAAATTTTGTGAGTTGTAGATAAAGGGTACTCCGCACAGTTGGAACAGAACCTGATTAAGGATCTGGTAAAGACGTCGCTTTTCGCAGCTGCCTAAGAAGGCGCTTAATACTCTTCCACTGCTTCATGTGAACATGGACTCCATCTCATCGAAATATATCTTCCATAAGCTATATTATAAAGTTATAACGAAACAAATAAAAGAGCCGAAAGTGACAGGTACGATTCGTATCTGCACAGACGATTTTAAAACAATACAAGGTTCAGGATGTGGAATATACTCCAGATCCTAGCCGATAAGCAGATAAGCACTACCCATCCTGGACAGACCACGAAATTACTTAGAAGTTAGTATTAGAATTAGAAGCTTTGCCTAAGTATCCATCAACAATGTGGTCAGTCTAAGATGGATCAAAGGTAGCGATACATCGATTGCTGATTCACTATTCAAGAAGAGAACTACTAATAATTTTGTGGACCTGGTCCTTTTATTAGACTGATGACATCATCGGTAGTGACATACCTAATGACCTTGTGAAATTCAAGGAAAGATGGAATGAAACAAAAAATGCAGAATAGCATAAAAGTACTGATCACACGGTTTCTGACTAGTCATTTCCAAGTGTGGAAACATCTACAGTGCATGGGGCTGTCAGAATCCGCACTCTGCAGGGAGTGGAATCTCTACGATTGCTCGACGCTTTCATTTATTAGAATATTTGTATTCAGCGAGTATCAGCTAACACCAGCCGATATAGGAAAAGCACCTCTCGGCGACGTTGACGACTACATAATATCTGTAAGCTATCTCACGAACTAGGAGGTGTCTATCAATTTAGGAGGTTGCACAATGGTCCTAGTGAGGCTTAAGTGCCGTGAGGTAACCTACCCTCCAGACATTACAGATAGCAGTAGAATAAATAATGAGGAAAATAAACAAAGAGACATTAAGAACGAATGGAGGGTAAATAATTGCATACGCGTGGTATTAAAAAAAACATAACGCAAGTGTGTTGGAAAAGATAATATACGAAGGTGAAATAGACTAGATTGAAAATAAACATAAATAAAAAATAGAAAAAGAAAAAGGAAACAGAGCGGTAAGTGTTATAAACCGAGAATTTGTGGAGGTGGATAATTTTAAGTATCTGGGAGTTATACTATCCAATCGTAAAACTAGCATGGGTACCAAAGCACAAAGGTATTCAAGGAAATGAAAAGGCTGATGCACTCGCCAAAGAGGGATCCGATCTACCATTCACAGGACCCGAACCTGTATTTGGGATAAACAAAACCTCTGCTCGATAGGCAGTGAACAGGTAGATAACCACAAAACACCAAATTCACTGGCAACGGATAAGAGGGCACAGAATCAGTAAGCTTATGCTAAGGGGAACAAATCCACGCATGGCTAATGAGGTACTACAACTCGCAAGGCCTCAGATATCCACCATTGTGGGATTACTAACGGGGCACTACTTGCTGAAACACCTTCATGTAATGGGATTACATAATGATCCCACTACGTGTAGACTTTGCATGGAAGAAGAAGAAACCTCATACCATGTGATCTTCGAATCAGAAGCTCTTACTAGGCGACGTTTCATCCTTTTCGGCCTAGAACCGGAAAGAATGCCGCAGAAACACTTGGTAGGAAACCTATTTAAACTAACCAAAGACACAGGACTATTCCAAAGATAGTACCTGAATACGAGGAAAGCAGGGGAATACAATAGACCCAAGAGGCCGCAGTGATCTGGGCCAAACCTAACCCTACCTGCTTACAACCGATAAAGATAAAGATACACTACCCAATAAAGAGAGTAAGGAAAAATATTGAAAAAAAAAATTAAATAAAAATTAAAAATTTATAAGAAAATGAGACCAATAATGATGTATGCTTCGGAAGCTATGACAATTACAAATAAATAAGAGAAACTAAGAATTGCGAAGAAAAAGATAAGAAAACTATAGAACCATTAAAAATAGGTGTAAATGAATTTTAATAGAGGAACAACCACGATATATTGCAAAAATTAATCAGCAAGGAGTAAAATATCTAGAGCATATATGATGAACAGGGATGAAGAAATAATAAAAATAATAATAAATTAGAGAGCCGACAGGAAGAAGAAGATGGAGTAAATTAAGATTAAAATAGATTCAAATGGTTAAGAATGATTTAAATGAGATAGGAATAATTTATGCAGAAAAGATAAGAAAAACGGCAGATAATTTCAAAGTAGAATAATGTTAGAATGGGGTCTGATCTACCCAGAATAAAATATGGATCTAGAAGGCCACATAAGAGAAGCTATGTTTCCAAGACCGAGAAATCAAAAATACAATTAATAATACTTAATATTATTAAAAACAAAATTTATTGTATTGTTTATTACAAAGCATATTTTATATTTAGCAAGTCAAATTTATATCTATAAACTATATACATGCAACTGAGTATATATTCTATTAATATTTTTTTAATCTATTGCGATGTCATACACCTCGTTTCACACACATTATAATTTTTAAAGGTTCAGCACTTCAAAGTATTCTTAGTAAATCCTCTAGTTATATCAGTAATCAAATTAAAGTATAGACCAAATGATCACATCGACTTTATTTATTATTTACAGTAAAATGATACCTATTTTGATTAAAATCTGATTTTTTTTTGTTAAACTTGCTTTTGTGGTAGCAAAAAGAAAAAATACAGAGTAACTATTATACTTATATGACATTTTTGATTTTCGCAAAAGTTTGACTACTTTCAATCTATTCTAAATTATTCCTTCACTATACATGTCCAAACTAGTTTGATACGACACTTGCGTCTTTAGTGTCACTGTTTGATTATTATATGATTTCTTTGGTATGTATAACGCAACACCACAATATTATTATGTATTGTCGATAAAATTACCGTCAAAAAAAATGTTAATACATTTTTGGGGATGTTGGATTTGATATGCCACATTTGATGCATACAATACTCATTATTTCTACAAATCTGCACACTCCAAACTAAATCTCCTTTATTTATTCCAATTTTGTTATTTTAAATGAGTATTCTAAACACCGTTACTACTAAAAAGCGCTATGTTAAAAATCCAAGCTAAATTGAATTTGAAAAACTCACCTTGAACTGAGGCTGCCTGATCTCTAGCCAAAAAGTCCGCTGGACTAGGGGGTGGAGTTTTCGAAAAGTTGGGGGATTTCGGATCTAAAAGTATAACAATAAGTGTTAAAGATTTCTGATCTTAAAGTATAACAATATTTCTATTCATAAAATATACTTTTTTAATTTTCTGTTTTTTTATTTGATTTTAAATAAATTTAAATATCCACATAATATAATTGACCCATGTGCTTGACTTTTTTAAAATAGAAATAATATTTTAACAATTACTTTATCTCAACAGGTCAGTAAGTAGATCCAAAAAGATAGTTCTAAGACCCAGTTGTACCACTTCAGTTAGAGGTGGATCAATGGTCCAACTGCACCTGGTTTTAACAATAATAAAAGCCATACTAATCATACTATAATTTCACAATCGAAACCGTTTATCTGAACGTTTCCTAAATTCTGATGATGTAATAATGGGCATTATTATTTGAAAATATAAATATTTTACTAAAAATTAGTATTTTTGAATGTTTTAAATTAATATTTAAAAGAAAACACATGTACTGCACAAAAACCAACAATTAGGTTATTATTCTAGTCAATGGTTTACATTAAACTAGAGAATTCAAGGTAGAACATTGAAATTTTTAAAGCAAAACTGTAACGTAAATTTTGGGTTTAAATGGAGAGACTCGAGTGAGGACTGAGGTCCAAAAACTCTCGCCGAATGAAAAGAACTCTCGTTTTCGGGACCCTAAGTCCCGAAACAAAATAATGTGTGAAGTAAAGTTTATGTGCAGCGATTTGTGAACTATGGGTAAATATCTTTAACTTAGTTTTAAAGGGTTTTGTTTGAGATAATTAATTGATTTGCATATAAATGCCCATTTTTCTATTAGTCATTTTATACTTATTGTAAATATACATTTGCTTCTGTTTTAATCATATTATTATTAATCTCTCCTTCCCTTTCCAAAATCATTCCGTCATTTGTGAAGCCTCGGCGTATCCACCCTTAAAGGACTAGTCTAAAACTAGTTTCCAAGAAATGCTCGACTATGCTATTAAGGGAATATTTTTTATTTATTTTTTTTATATTTTTATTTGCCACCGGTGAATGGATGTTTCTTCTGGACTCCAGGACACTTTGGCTGGTGACAGTACTGCCTAAATTTCTTAATAGTATATTAATCCCAGCTAGCACATAACGTTGCCAAGCCCTTCGGCGATGTTGCATTAAGGGAACGTAATAAAATTACTATACAACGTAAATGCAACGTTCATGAGAAGTTGTTAAGGGAAATAAAAACCTCGCAAAACTTCTATTTGTTATTTACCTAGTTAACCTACCTGTTATTGTTAACATAACGTAATAAAGAAATTTGCTAAAATAGTATCCACGAGAAGTACCGTGAACATCACAATTCTGAACGTTTATGTTTATGTCAATTGTCACTTTTTAGTTTTTCATGTCATTTGGCTTGTCTTTCTTGATGGTTTATTTTTTGACTTCCAGAATTTATTTTATAAATAATTATTATTTATACATTCGAGTAGATTTGGTAAGGGTCCAATTTTCTAAACCATTGTCTTTGTTTCAGATTACAATGCCTGATGTAAATTTACTATTTCATTCATTAGATATACAAAATGGTTTAACTACAATAAAAACAAAGAATTGCAAATAAATCGTTGTAAACGAGAAAATTAACATTTAACCGAATGTCCGGTAACGTTTTACACCAAATACTTATAAAAGGTAATTATACTTAATCGAACTAAAAATATATTTTAAAAATATTATATTTTAGGCTTTCTTTGACATTCTAGGAATTTTAGAAGCAAAGGTAAATACTACAGAATATATAACATCTGAAATTTTATAAAAGTGAATTTATAGGTACATGGTATGTCAGGTATATCAGATTTCAAGCATTCATTCTCTTCAACAGGCTAGATGTACCTGGAAATGTAACCATCAGTTCAAGTGCAAACCCAGAAAAAAAGTTGAGAGAAATCATAGATGATGCTTTCATCATAGAAATACTTTTTCATGGTTTACATACCCAGACAACACAGACAATAGAATATCTTGCTAAAAAACACGAGTTTTTTTTTATAAAATCTGCATATATATAAAATCGGGCATAAAATTTGTAAAATTCAATCAAATTTCAATACAATAACATTGGTTGTTTTATTTAAAACAACAAAGTAAGGCATATTTTTTAATTTCTATATAATTTTCTTTAATAATAAACAAGTTGTCAATTTATTTTTTATTGAATGTATTGAGAAGTAAAATCTTTTTGTATAAAAATATAATTTATGCTCTCCTAATAAATTATCATATTTAGGTTACATTATAGCATTTTATAAATATCTATACAAAAAAAGTTAAAAGGCTTGATTTAAAAAAGATGATATATATGTGCGTCTAGAGGTAAGAAATCGGGGAACTTAGCTATCCTCTAGTAATCTAATATTATAATATGTACCTAGTCATTGTTGTATTCGTTTATTATTATTCACCAATCTAGCTAATTTTGTCCAATCGTTCAGTTCTTTATAAGTAACTTCTTCTATCCCACATGTGTAATTGTGTTTGTGATATAAGAAGTGTTCTTTTATTCAATAATTGTTCCATCAGTGATTAATGTCATGATATCACTGATTCATTTCTGGTGCAACATATTTGATCTGAACATAAGAACGAACGACATCTCTCAAATGAAAAATTTGACTTTTGACATCACTTCAAAAATTAAACCCGTTTTAATTTAATTTAACAGTAATTTATCTCTTCTGCAGTCGTTTTATATTTAAACTCATTGTAGGTTAACTCTTATCTAAATAATCGTGTTCACACGTTCAAACAAATTTATTAACTATCCTCACCATTAATCTATCACATATCCATCGATTTTTAAAGCCGATGGATGCGTTGGTTCATTGGTGAACTCACCGCTGGAAAAAAGAATGATTGACACATACAATCGTCTTTCCCATCGCTTAATTTACGAACGGTTTGCTGCAAGCGCTGGATACAGCGCTGAATAAATGAACACGCCTACACATACCTCTACTTTTGTGATATTGCTACTTGATTTCAAGAACATTTTAATAATAAATTTATATATTTTGTTTTATTTGAAATTTTTATGTCTCGATTGAGATTTTACTATAGCCTCTATTTCAGCCTCTCTGTATTACATTACACAAAGTGTGTCCACGGATGAACTTAATTATACTTGTAAAAATATTTATTTCAAATTAAAAAAAAAGTTGTTTTTCATAATTTCTCAATGTGAATCGAATTTATTTAACAAGCAAAAGAAATTATGAAGAATTACTTTTTAATTTAAAATAAATATTTTCACAAGTATAGTTAAGCCCATCCGTGGACATACTGTATAACATCTATAGAACGTTTCAGAGCAACTTTCGGGGTAAGTACCGTAAAAGTGTTAGTGTGATGTTTTTCGAACTTCACCTTGTAACTTCTGTGAGATGTGCTATAAAAGTCTTGCCATTGCGGACATTCGGCGGTTGCAGGGATATTAGGGTTACATTAAAAGTACATCGCATGTGAGCTTAAAGAGTCTAAAATTGCAGCTTATTAACGTAGATGGGATGTGTTTGTACTAGCTGGGATAACAGTAGCTAAAGACCTATCAGTAGTTACAAATGGTCTCTACACTTTCTGGTTGTTACAATGATGATACTGGACCTAAGATACGTTTTATCACGGGACTTACCTTCGTCTGCGATCAACTTTGGTATGACCTTCTTTTTCTCAAAACTCTGCGTAACTTTCTCCAAAAGTTCAGCATCCTCCGGTGTTTTGTGCGTATCTTCAGATTGAATTGTGCGTGTTTCTGTGATAACTGTTGTGGTTTTGCTAACGTGCGTCGTCGGAGACAAAACGATTTCCGAAACCTGAAATGACAGAAACACATTTGTTGATTCTTACAAAATAAAGAGGCCATTCTTTTCAAACGGCAGCAAACTAGCTACACGTACAGTACGACGGATATAGCTGAAGCCGCCAAGCTAATATTCGTAATTAATAGAAGAACTAATACGAGTGCGTATCGATGATCGTTTGGATCTGAATACAATATAGTCGAAGTTATACATTTTTAAATAAAATTCTCGTTAAAATTACCCAGTAAGAAGCGCAACTTGCGGCTTTTGCTACTCCTGTCAATCTGTATTTTTTTTTGTAACAGTTACTTACCATTGTATCGGATGGTAATGTGGTTTTTACTTCAACAGTTTTGGTAACCGTTTTGGTCTCCTGCGGGGTGGTCGATTTCGTAATAGTGGTTTTTACTGTATCTTCCGTGCTTCTGACTCGTTCTTCTACTTCCGCTAACTTATCTTCGACTAGATTTTGTTCTTTAATCGTCGTGATCTCTTGAACGATTTCCCGACGTTGTGACGAGGCTGGAATCTGTCTTTCGATCGATAGACGTTTTTCAATTTGTTCCCTACGTTCGGCTACCGGTTTTTCGAATTGTTCTTCCTCTTCTTCATCGGACCTCACTACTATCTTCTCTTCTGCTTTGTACTTGTCTTTAATACCGAATCGCTTCGCTAAAAATCAAAAATAAGATCATAAACGCACAGTTTAAATATTTTGTTTGTATTTTTCATATACTTTGATTACTATACGAGGCAAGAGAGAGGTCCGACACGCCCAACATAGGGCGCGGCCATTTTGAACTCTGTGACACAGTTTACAGCTAAAGAATCAGATCGCTCACTCTGCGTCGGCACTTTGGATCTCAATGTTTCAGTTTATACACTGTGCAACTCGGATAATACAATATATGACAACCGCCTATAATAAAACAGCAGTCTTCTGCGTATCCTGAATTTGTATCCCTGGAGTGGATGTTATTTTGGAACTTTCAACTGTTCCGAGTGAGCTAACTGATTCTTTAGCAATAAACTGTGACTTCTAAAATAATATTCACTGGCACTGACAGCAGCAAGCAAAATATCAGGTGCGTTTTAATCATCCGCTTCTGCTTCCGGAATTGTCGGTTTAGTCGTTTTAACCTGTCAGATTAAAACAAGAAAACTGACAATTCCGAAGCAGAAGCGGATGATTAAAACGCACCTATTAAAAATATTGCGCCAAGATGTAGGCAACACGTAATAAGGGTCAAAATGGCGGAGTTTTCTATCTCCTTTTAAAAGGCACTCAGAAGGCTGCGCAGTGCGACCATTCTCCGTATAGTAAAAGAAAATCAATCAAAGTATGTGGTATTTCCCTTTATAATATAACCTAAACTAAAGTTATTCATGATATAAGTGTTAGAACTGACATTTTATGTTATGAATAAAGCAACGTCATGAACAAGTTGTGAGGGTTATAAACGAGACTCCAGATAAAAAATACTTGAGCTTTAAGGTTGCAACTACTTTAGGATTTTTTGGAGCCTTTCGAACAGAAGAACTATTGTATAACATAGGGCCATTCGCATTGCTCTTACTCAGCATCTCAGTGATACTTACGAAGGCATAACTGTTAGTACCGTTATTAAAGTTTTACTTATCAAGACATTAATCACTCTACTAAGCCCAGAAATTTTTCAGCTCATTACTTAACCCTAAAATGTTTAATTTTTATAATTTTAAATTGAATTTGTAAAATCGCATCTTTGGAATAAAATAAATATTTATGGAATGGTAAATGGGCAATATCTAGCTTCTCTCTTTTTAAATCGCAAGAACCTGACGGTATCTATTCAGCACTATTTTAGTGGAATCTGGAAGAATTCACTGCATATGGTAGGTATATTCAGATCCCCGTTGGCTCTAAGGTATATTGCCCAAAAATGGAGAGAGAAAAGTTGTCTTTATACCCAAACCTGCAAAGATGGATTAATGTCCCAAAAATATGCCAACCTATTAGCCGGACATCGTTTTCAATCAAGACATTTGAAAGACTTTGTGAAAGGTACATAGGGAATGTGGTGATTACAACAACACCACTACACCCAAATCAATATACATACACCCCAGGCAGATCTACTAATTTAACCCTTTACTGAGTTGCTGGTCGGATAGAATAAAGAGAATAAAGAGCAGCAGCCTTGGGTGTTTTCATAGAAATAGGTGCTTTTGATAAGACGACCTTTACCAAGATAATACACTCACTAACAAACAGGAATTTTCCATGGATGGTTGGGTGGTGGATATATAACATGCTCTCAAAGCGATCAGCAAACATAAGTGTAGAATTTGTAAATATTACAGATTTGGTTGCAAAAAAATGTCAACAGGGAGGACTACTATCGCCTTTACTGTAGAACATGGACCTCGACATTCTCATCGGCCGCCTCAGTAATGACAGTCACTACACAATAGCGTATGCAGATGACCTGGGCATTCTGCAAACAGGGAATTTTGAAAACATACTCTGCGAAAGAATGTAAGTAGCTCTTAAAATTATAGAACAGTGGTGCAAGGACCATTCACTATCTATCAATACCAAGAAGATAGAAACGGTCTTTTTCACAAAAGAAAATGATAAAAATAAAATAAAAACTTCCGGAGCTCCTAAACACAAAAATAAACTTTGCAACAGATGCGAAATTCTCACCTTTGTCAACAAGTTAATAAGTTAACATCGAACTGTGGGGTGGACCTGAGGTCTCTCCCCAGAGTAGTCGCATAGACTTACACAACCATCATAAGACCTATGCTAACATATGGAACAGTTGTCTGGGTAGCGAAAACCCAAAATTTGACAGCTCTCTGCAAACTAGAACAAATTCAAAGAACAACGTCTCAACATAACAGGAGCCATGAAAACTACACCAACCAGAGCCAAGGAAGTTATTCTTAGTCTTACTCCTCTTGATATTTACATCAAGAAGGTTGCTCTGATGACAATGACATGCCTCCCTACGGTTGAAATAGAACCTGATGTAGAATCTGGTGAAGTGAGACGTCGCTTTTGGCAGAAGACCCTTAAAAAGCATCCACTACTTCAAGCCAGCATGGACTTCATCTCACCGAGATGTATCTTCCATAAGCCATAAAAAGTTATACTAACAGAACACATAGAAGAGCCGAAAGTGGCAGATACAATTCATATCTACACCGACGGTTTTGAAATAAAACAAGGTTGAGGATGTGGATTATACTCCAGATCCCTAAACCTAAACATAAAATGGACTGTAAGCAGTAGTTCCCGAATCCTCGGGAAATCGCATCTTTAGTGACAAACCTAATTAAAGAACATTCCCTTGTAAAATTGAAGAAAAAATGGAATTAAACTAGGAGCTACATACTTGCCAGGGAGCTTTTAAGTTATCCTGACAACACTACAGCAAACAAATATTTGACTATGACTAGACAGAATCTGCCCCTGATTACAGGCATTCTGACTGGTCATTGCCAAGTACGGAGCATCTCCATGACCTGGATATGTCAGAATCCGCACTCTGCAGGGGGTGCGAAAAATAAGATGAGACTATCGGGTATATCCTTTACGATTGCCCGACACTCTCATTTATTAGAAGATTTGTGTTCGGCGTTATAAGCCTATGAGAAGCACCTCTTGGTGACGTTGTCAACTACATTTAATTTGTAGGCTGATTTACGAGCTGGAGATGCCTATCTACTAAGGAGGATATACAATGGGCCTAGTAAGGTCTAAGTACCGTGAGTTAACCCAACTTCCATACCTTTAGATATAAACAACCTTGGCAAGCGAATTTATCAGATAGTTATATAGGCGGTGTGGGCTTAATTTTTGCCTTCCACTAGCTGCCTCAGAAATAAAGGTAAACGTTTTTGTGACGTACATGTGACACTAAACTTGTTAATCGTTTGATGTGAAATATATTTTTAACAAGTCAACTATCAAAACTAAAGACTGTCGCAAAAAGTGTCACTTTTATTGACAGATATCCAAATATATACAGTGAGCACCATAAGTCTTACCTCCCCTATCTAACTCGTTACTGGAGTCTTGTTAGGAAAATCGCCGAGACAAGTCGATTTTTGATTTCTACAATGTACATTTTCGTATAAATAGTTTACCCTTAATTTCTGGAGGGGAGCAACCCTTTCGAAAAATTTAAATGGCATGGGGTAGTGAGTGATAGCTCATTTGAAAGAGGGTTTTATTCTCTATTTAACCGTCTAAAAAAATTTGAAATTTGCTTCATTAATTCTCGACCAATTGTTGTTTCAGAATAACGGAAATTAACGTAGCGCACTCATCCTTAGAATTAAAATTCGGCCCTGCATGACTTTGGTTTTGGTTCAGACGTGAAGTAAGACTTTTTGCCATTAGAAGGTCACTGTTAGTCTAGTTGCTTTCCTATTTTGTGAGGTTTTGTTATTTTTAAACATAATAAATAAACACGTAATGAAGAAAATTTCAAAAATTTTTGCACGGTTAAATAGAGAATAAAACCCCCTTTCAAATGAGCTATCACTCACCACCCCATTCCGTTTAAATTTTTCGAAAGGGTTGCTACCCTCCAGTAAGGGATGAAATTAAGGGTGAACTAATCATGCAAAAATGTACACTGTAGAAATCAAAAATCGACCTGTCTCGGCGATTTTCCTAACAAGACCCCAGTAACGAGTTAGTTAGGGGGGGTAAGACTTATGATGCTCACTGTATACAATTTGGGTATACATTTTGGGTATAAATTTTACCTTCTTGTGTATCGGCTACAGCTCTCGGGGCAACTTCATCTTTCACAGCACCTTTGTCTATACTATCTATATCTTTTTTCAGTCTATATTTTCCTATCTCCTCGAGTTTTATCCTAGTGATTTTTCGACTTTGGTCAACGTTTAGGCACTGAGGTATAATTTCCTCTCTTCCTATCCTCTTTAGGGCGTTTTCAAGTGTATTCGTCTGTGCCTTGTTGCCGGTTTGTGACAACCACATCCTGAAAATCAAACTATTTTTAGTAAAACAAAGTCCATGTCAATAATAACGAACAACTTACCTCAACATACTTTGGGCCTGTTTGGCAACGCTGTCGGGATATTCTGACTTGATGACGTTAATTTCTGAGGTGGTAAGTCCCAGTTGGTTAGCTAGCGGTACCCAGTCTTCGCCGAGTAAATTGCTCATGTCTGCCAGCCTAGGGTCAGGTCGATAATAGTCAAAGTTTTCCGAGAGGAACCTATATTGTTTGAGAGAGTCACTATCTGTGAGGGATATCGTATCCGTGACTATGTCATCTGGAAGGACTATGTTGAGGATGCAGACTGGTTGCTGCGGTGGTTCGCCTTTTGGTACCTAAAATAAATTATTAATAATTTATAATAAGTAATAAATTAATATAGAAACGAACGAACTTACCTTTGGTTCTTTCATAAAAAGACACCTGCTTACGGCTTCGGCGTGTTGATCTTTAACCCTTACGGAAAACGGTAACCTATTTTCTCTAAACGCTCTAAACGAGAAGGAAAGTTGCTCTCCGCTCTTAGTAATCGGTACCAGATTACCAGCGAACTCCACGTACTGTTGTTTGCCCTCCAATACTTCGACGTCCCTGCTTTTCGCTACCTCCGTGAAGTGCTCTTGGTGTTCTAAGGTTTTGTCCTCTTTGTCATCGGTCATACAAAATACTCTCAGTCTTGCTTCGAGGGGATCAACCCGCTTGGCGAATACGACGAATTTTGCCATGAATGGTACATGGATGGCTTCCCTTGAAAAAATAAATAATTTATTTACTACTCTATATCTGTATCTGATTTCATATACTTGTTAACGATTAGCATCCACGTTACACAAAATAGTGTGGTGTAAATTGTATTGTCTAGCTTTTAGTATTTATTGTCGTTATTTAAATTTGAATAAATGAGCTGCTACCAATTTTGTTGATAATATTGTATTAATAAAATAATTGTTGAATTAAATACTAATGTGATATTTAGACTTACTTGTAAAGTTCGGTCGCCATTTTTGTGGCATCGCCGATATTCCTGCAGTCCATAAGCCAAAATCTAGCAGATACAGTAGTAGTGAACGAGACACAATCGTTTACGAAGGTAAGAGGTGTGGATCCAGTGACGTCTTCCCATTGTGCTCTTGTTGTTCCTCCTGAAGAAGAGATTTTTTTCAATAACATGCCTGTAACCTTTTTTAATATTATCCAAGTTATCCTTTGCCATGAAACATTGAAGATCAAAATGGGATTCTATAAAATCGATTACACATGCATAGAAATGATGCAAAGTTTCATGGAAGGGTTCGATTTTTTAAATTATGTACATGCCTAAAAAGAGTGTTGTAAAACGATCAAAATATTAAATTTTATAATTGCAAATCTAAATACAGCCGCTTTATACAGGCACCTTTCTATAAAATATAATGATATACCCTAAGAACTGACAAACAATATTATTTTAAAGTAATATTTAACATTACTTGTTCACCTTAAGCCAATCAAACTAAATTAACTATCTAAAAAAAAAAGATATAGACCAATTCACCCATTATGGCATGTACGTCATTACTAATTTGTGAACATAATGCATGTTACAGTCCTATCGTGACATCAGCTAAACATGAGTTTACATCCTTATTTTAATTTGATTAGATATTCATTATGTACATTGAGATACATTCCCATTACGACATCGAAAATAATTTATGTATATTTTTAAAATCCAAAGTAAGTATACTATATCCTGGAATTGGGTTACATAAAAATCTCGAAAAGATGGGTTCCACGCCATCTGGCGGAAATTTGGAAGAATACTAGCTTACAGTTTGTGAAAGGCTTCTGGCGTACTATTGAGGTGAATGCCAAATATTTGAATATCCCTTATATTGCTCAGATTTGTCACTATTAAATGTTTGGACCACTTAAGGAAAAACTGGGTGGATGTTGTTTTTATGACGATCAAGGTATGAAAGCTCAGTTGATTACATACAACTCAATTGTTTGAAGACGGTTTTAAAAAACACAATACGGTGGAAAAATGTACTACTAAAAGTAGAAATTATATAGAAAAATTGAATTGTATTACAATTTTTCTGTAACAATGAACTCAATAAAAACAAAATTCGGTTAATATTTGTTCAGCACTCATATTATAAGATGTTCTCGGTTCTCTTGAAAACATTTTTCTGAGTTTATATGATCTTTTTAAAAATAAAAAATAAAAATAAACTGAAGTGGTTTGGACTTTTCATATATTACCTTAAAAAATAATGATGAATAAAACATTTGGTATTTAAAATAGGAGTCGCCTACTATTTTTAGTGTCTTATAAGACATTATAAATTTGTATATATCAGAAGCATTGTATATATACTACTATATTTTTATAGTCCGTATATTAGTATATATTAGTATCTAACAAAAAAGAAGAAATGTACAAAATTAATATTACCCTTTAAAGGCCTACATGAAATTTTAAATTCGAATGCAACTAAAAGTTATATATTATGATATATCCAGCTGTAACTGCCATTAGAGGTATATACAAGATCACTACAAATACAATAAACAATAGAAAAACAAGATATCAAAAATATTTTTACAGTATTTATAAATTAAGAGAAATAATATTTGATTTATGTAAAAGATGATAAAATATAGACGATAGGTATTTAGGATATACAATTGGTATGAGTGTATAGTTTTATATGATAAAGTGATAGAAATATCCCAAGTCCTCTGACAAAAGAGTATCGCATTTTTAGTTATAGTTTGCACGTGTCTTTTTTGTTGATTAGTAGCATACACTTTATTAAGGTGCGTTTACACGAATATCTGAAGTCGCTAGAACAATTTGCTTTCGTAGTTTATAAATAAACTTCCAAGCTAAACATTACCCAGACAGCACACCAAATCCTTTGGATATCTACTGAATATCCCAGTATCCACTGAATGTCCAGTCCATGGTGGATATCTATTTTATATCCATGAGATGTAATTTATAGACATGCAAATGTCCATAAATAATAGTAATTATATAACAAATTATTAAAAAATTACGTCATTGTGGCTAATAGTATTGTTTAGATATTTAAAACTAATTTTTTTTAAGATGTATTCAATATCCTATGGATATCCACTAAATATATTAAAGCCTATGCGCGAACGCAAACCATGGTGGATATCCACTAAATATAATTTATGGATATAATATGTACCTAACTATCAAAAAATATGTGAATTGATTTAATAATTGTTAAATTACTTAAATATTACGCCATGTGATAACTAAGAAAGTATGTAGGTATGGTTTATAGAAATTTAAAATTAGTAAGTTGTATTCAATATCCCACAGATATCCGCTAGATAAATAATATTGGAAATGAACGCGATCGCAGGCGCGGATATTTTCTGCCCTCATAGGTGCCATCGGCCATTTTATAGTTTGTTTTCGTTTTGTTTGTGTCGTGTGCATGAGTTTCATTTGATAATTTTGGATTAAAAGGAGGTAAGTAATCTTTAAAACCTAAATTTATTAGGGTAAAAGGTTGATAGACTTTAGTTAAATAAGACAATGGTTAAATTCACGTTATTAAGATTGTTAAGTAGGTTGTATGCAATGTACGTTAAAATCCGTGTCCTTTTTAGGTAATTTACAACTAGAAATTCATGTCGTTTTTACAAAAAGATATTTTGTGGATATCTCTGGGATTTCGTGTATTGTCTGGGAGATAATTAGATATTTTGTTGGATATCCATAGGATATCTTCTATATCCTGGATATAGACGGATATCCATACTAGATCCACGGGATATATAGGATATCCTGTGGATATATTGGATGTCCACAAGAGATATTTTGTAAATCTCTGGAAATTGGTGTATTGTGTGGGTGGTTTTAAGCGTTTTTAGAGTTTTTAAAGATACTACAAAATAGGAGCAAATTCGAGAAACAGATTCTTTGTTAAAAAAAAATATATTATAACAAGAGACACAAAAAATATTTATTAGATAACTCATGTAAATTTTTTTAATCAATATAATTTTCTTTACAACTGGACTCTGATTCAGACTCATCACTACTTGCCGTTGTACCCAAATTAATAATAATTGGTTCAGAAACATTTAATTGCCTGTATTTTTCCCAATCGAAAACAATTATGTTTTTAATATGTCTTACATAATTGTCCCACTGAATATCGATAACATTTTTCAAAGCTTCTGACCAAGTCTGAAATACATCTTCTGGTGATGACTGTGTTGTCAAAATTTTTTTATCATAAAACCGTTTGCACAGTGTCTGTATCACATTGTACAGGCTGTGATATGGAGGAATTCTTAATATTTTGTGCCCATATTCCTCAACACATCTATCTTTTCGTGGTAGATTTTGAAGTACAACTTCCCAAATCTGATATTTAATACCATTGATTGGATAATTAATGTTTTTTCCTGCAACCATTTTACCCTTTCGTTTTAAACCATTTTGCAAAATTTTCTGTGTTCATATTATAATGGACAATTATGTATCGAATTCCATCTTCTGTTTTTTTACTTGCAGTAGCCATCGTTCCATTTTGCCAACTTTTTCTGTCACTTTCCTTGCTATATACATACGTCTAATCCATAAATACAGGCTTAAAGTTACCCAGTTCTATCTCCTTTTTAATTTTTTTCAAAGACGACATTTTTTGTAACTGAATTGATGTTCGTTCCAATAAAAACTGTCTGCTGTTACTTCTTTTAAAGCGAAAGCCAATTTTTTGAATCCATGTATTAATTGACCGTGCAGAACATTTCACATCTTCCGAAAATTGTTCATGTAACGATTTAATTGTTACATGTTGCTAACCTTCGTACATCTTATATATAACTTGCCTTAACTTAGTTAATATTAAAGAATTGACTTTTGTTTAACTTTGGCTTACATTTTTAGACATTATTTTAACATACACTGTATCAGAATTTGTTGGTTTACTAAGTCTATAGATAGTTTTCTGCGAGTTATTTAATGCCTCTGCAGCCATTTGATTGAACCTCTTTCCAAGAGCCTCACAAGTAGATTTGTATCTCTTAAAATAGGAAACTACGTCTGGGATTAAAATTTTTGATTGATCACTATATCATTTTACCATTTTGTTGAATACTTTTAAAACATCAAAATATACACATTTTTAGCAAATTCACAATTTCAAAATTATTTTGATAACTGCCACCTGACATAATAATGATGTATTTGATCTACAATTTGCCAAAATCTAGTAATTTTTTGTTTTACTCATTTTACATTTAAACAATAAAAAAAGCAAATGGACTTGGGGTATTTCTGAGACTATACAGTAGTTTGTGTCAAATGAAAAAAAAAAAAAAAATTGGGCAAGATCATCAGTTGAAAAGAGAAAATTTAAATTTAGAAAGGTACCTCATTATTCTCAGTATATTTGACAAATGTACTGAGTAAACAATGAATTTGGGGGATATGATATTGAAATTATTCTCACAAAAATTTATCAAAATTAAACAATTTTTGAATGGCGAAATTTCTAAAATTGTAAAATATGTTTCTTTTAATACCTCTTCACTATTTGTTTAAAAATAGCCTCTACATTTATTTTCAATATCTTCAAAACGTAACTAATTACAAAAATTCTTCCCAATCAATACAGAAAAACCGACATCCTCTTTTTTATTTTACTCCTTCAAAAACTTCGCTACCACGATATAATTCAATTGTGCTTTTGTGACATAAGTAATTTTTATATCAATATTTTTGTTTTCCAATCATACATTTAGGATTTTTATTGATTATAGTGTGCTGTCCTGTTGCTTTCATATCATGAAATACGTTTCTAATTGCTTCTTTCACAGATCACTTACTTTATTAGTATTTAACTTCGGTAGAATGTACCATTGTCCTAACCATATTATTGCTAATTCCTCTCTATTTTACTAACGCCCAAACATTTGTTTATGAAACTCTAAAACTGTATCGCATATTGTTGCAGGTAAACGCCAAAATAGGTGAAATTTATCTTCGTTATTTTGAAAGAATCAAAAGTAACAAAAACAAATTTAGACCATACAATTATGTTGTAAGCAGATACAATTAATAATATAATTGTATTTAAAGTAAATATGTACAAATCACTGAACAGTAACCGTTACAATGCTACAACGCTAAGTTTTCATTTCGCGCATAACGTCACTGCCGGGTTGATACTCATGCGCAATAAAGTACTGAATATCAGCAACAATATGATCAGGTCAGGCTTTATTTATTAAATTAATTTGCAAATTTTGATGTACTTCTAAAATAAAATTCCTGAAAAAAATGTATCCAATCTTTTTTTTTTTTTTTGAGGGATTTAACGAACACATTTTATATTTATAATAACAGTATATCTTAAGTCTATCTTAATTATTTATAATAATATTAATAATGATGAATTTACAAACTTAATTTTTTGTTTCTTAAGGTCAGGGATGGAAATGCCATACATGTGTGACTAACATTATTATATATTTATTTAAAAATACAATACAAAACAATATGTTCAAGATCTTACAAAATATTAATAGTCGTTTGTACAACAAGAGTGGATATGATGACCATATCGCACGAAGACGAAATTTGAGCACGACGTAGGCGGAGTGCTCAATCGTCTCAGTGCGATCTGGACAAACCACTCGAGTTGTACAGTATATTTTTTCTACGACCCACTAACGAAAATTTACAAATAAAAAAAATATTTTAGGCTATTAAGACAAAATTAGTAATTTTAAAATAAATTATGACTTTTAATAATTTTTAAAATAAAATAAACTCAAAAAAAAGTTTATTTCACATTTCCCCATCCGAGAATTGAACTCTAGTCTTCCGTGTAGAAGGCAAGAACTCTAACCACAGGACCACCTATTCTTTTATTTTTAACTCTTTAATACTCGTAATTAACTGGACTTCATATAGTTTTATTTAAATTAACGAATTATTTATAATTATAGACGAAATAAAAACAGAAATGGTATTATTTATCGATCCTAAACAATAAAAATAACACATTTTAATGTATGTTTAATCTCAATAACTAAAAAATTTACTGACAATTAGTTTGATAGAATTGTCACTTATTCAAAATTTTAATAATAATAGCAGTCGGTTGATCAAAATATAAACGGTGATTGGTGGATTTCATTTTTTTACAGTGTTCTCATTACATAGAATGGATATGAAATATATTTGTTCAGTTGAAGGCAATAGCATACTTTTGCGTTTTGTAATGTGTGCGTAGATAAGGTAATATCCATGTGGGTGTAGAAAAAAAAATGTATTTATATATCATTTGCAACATGTTACACATAATTAATATTATTATAATAAAGCTTTTAGATTACTGATGCTAAAACACTATGAGTGTTAAAAATTGTTACTTGTTTTCTTTGTGTTGTTTTTGGCAATTGAATAGAATCTTGTTTTCACAGATTTCTGATGCTATTTTTAAAAATTTTATTTTATGATAATTGAATATAGAAAACTCATAAAATAAGGATACTTGATGCAGAACTACAGGAAAAAAAGTTTGCCACCATTTAAATTTAAAAGAAACCTTACTTTTTTTCATAAAATGTATATATTTTGGTAAGATCACTACTTGATGGTTTGAGTAAACCTTCATGATTTTTTTTTATTTAAGAGTATTAAGTTGTCACAATCAATAATAAAAGTATTTATAGTATGAAGTGACACTTTACAATAATTCGTACATTTAATTAAATTTTGAATTTTTTAAGCAAAACCTGCAATATAGATGACAATATTTAGATAGGACAATTAGGAGAAGCAAATGTTCTATATACTATTCGATACCATTGTCTTCTAAAGTAATATTTGAAATATCAATGTTGTATTTTTTAATGAGAGCTATTATATGTCATCAATATCAATTTTTTTCAATCTTTTTTTGTTTTTCCTAAAGTTATAGTCAGAATATTTTTTTCCCTCATCAGCCGCCTCAATAATGTCAGTCACTACATAATATCATATGCAGATGACCTGTGATCTGGTCATTCTGCAAACGGAAAATATAATCTTGTGAAATTCAAGGAAAGATGGGATGAAACAAGAAACTGCAGAGTTGTTAGGGAGCTCTTAAGTTATCCTGGCAAACAAATACTTGGCTATGACTAGACAGAATCTGCACCTAGTCACAGGCATTCTGACTGGTCATTGCCAAGAAGAAAAGCATCTCCATATCATGGGGCTATCAGAATCCGCAGTCTGCAGAGGGTGCGAACAAGAAGATGAGACCATCGAGCATATCCTTTACGATTACTAGACGCTCTCATTAGAAGATTTGTGTTCGACGAGTATCGGCTAACACCGGCCGATATAAGAGAAGCACCTGTTGGCGACGTTGTCATTTACATTAAATCTATAGGCTAGCTCACGAGATAGGAGGTACCTATATTCTTAGGAGGATGCACAATGAGCCTAATGAGGCCTAATGAGGCCTAAGTGCCGTGGGGGTAACCCAACCTTCACACGGTACAAATACAGATAGTAAAAGTAAAATGTAGGTTACATTTCACAACCAAAAAAAGCTCCAACTGATCTTGGCTAAATTTAAACTTAATATTTATTTGTTTGGCTTCTTGGCTGAAGTTCACCCTGTTCACGTCAATCAGCATCATGGCTGCCATGTAAGTCTTACGCATGCTCAGGAACCCGGTGCTACAGCACTTTCAAAATAAATATCTTCCATTCGACGCTGCATGGATGGCTTAAACTTTCCCCATGCATGTGTTATTAGTTACTAGCGTTTAAGTAACAGTTACAGTTTAGTGGTACAAACATTAGTGTAATAACGTTTTCCCCACGCTTGTGTTATTACTAGCGTTTAAGTAAAAGTTACAGTTCAGTGGTACAAATATTAGTTTAATAATAAAGTTTTCCAAATAGGTAAATTTTTTCCATGAATCTTATAATTATTAATTATATTCCCCCTTAATTTTTAAATCAGGTAAACGAAAAATATTCTAAGGAAAAAACTTAACATAATGCAGGAATAAAGAGCAAATAATAACAAAGACGGAATAATTTAGAAGAAAATAAAAAAGACAATTTCCTGTCGGGGAACAAAAAGTTAAACATTTATTAAATTATAATTTTTGACTTAAATTTTTTTACCGTAATTTATAAAACACCTGGTATAATATAATACTTTAACATATTTCTGCATAAATCTTAATTTGATGCCCAGCATCGGACTAAAACTTACCATTCAACGTAGATTTACTTATTCTGTTTAAATAGTTAATTGATTGGCCTAAGTGCCAGTAGAAGACACATAAATCTGTAGCCTAAAAAGCTTGTAAGCAGTCATCAACATTCACTAAGGCAACTCACAGTCGTCTTTGACTAAGTGAAGCAATGCAAGTGTTTCAAAATAAAGCGGCATAAGCAAAGCGTTTGGTTTGTTGAAAAAAAATTGTTTCAGAAAAGACCAGTCGACTGGCAACTAACTTAGGATTTAAAAAAAAGTCTCTCTCTGGAGTTGTTAAGATTCGTCTCGGTCTGTTTTTTTTTGTTTATATTTTTTTAAGTGTCAAAATTTAACGACTGATCTGACGATACAGGTATAAGGACAAAACATAAATATAAATAAAATAATTAAGATTAAACGTACAATATGCAGCATATCTATAAGGTGAATAACATTTGCAGTTTTGTGTTTTCGTGATTTTTTCATATATTGTTTGTAATAAACTTAAAATTAACGACTAAAGGCAAAAGAAAATATACAAGGTGGTGCGAATTATAACGACGCACGACAAGAATGCCATTTTAGTACAAGATATATCGGTTAAAAGGGTAAAGTAGCAATAAAATCGCTTTTAAAACAAGTTATTTGCGATTTGTGTTCAATAAATTACTACTAAAAAAAAAAAATAGAGTTGTAAGGTATTATTAAGAAGTTAGTCTAGAATATCTTTAAAGTTTTACAGGCTTTTAAGTTCTTTCGAAATTTTTCATTAGGTTCGTATAAAGATAGTGCGCCAAGCCTGCACAGGGCCTGCGCCAGGCCTGTACAGGGCCTGTGCCAACAACGGGCCAAGTTCGTCAGATTTATATGGTGCTGTGGGTCTAACGGGCGCGTGGTAGTTACACAGAATTATACAAATTTGACGAATTTGTTGGGACAGTGCAGGCATAGTCCGGGCCCTGCCCATCATATTTATACACTCCTTAAAACTTATTTTAGATAGGCAAATAATATGAATTTTCTAAGTAAAAAGGAATATAGATTTAAACGAAACCGTAAAATATTTATGACATAGGCTTAGAAAATGGCAGGCACTCTTCTATGTGCCATTGTATTTATTATTTAATACGTTTTTATATTTAAAAAAAAACATATTTTTTAATTTTGTATTTCCTGCAAATTTTATTGAAAAAAAATTATTGTTCTTTCGGCATTGATAAACCTCGGAATACGCTAAATATTTGCATTTCAAAATTACATTTGGGAAGTATATTTGCATTCGTAATGCCAGTTATTATCAATTTAATATGTTTTTCTAGTTGCAACTATTATAGTTGTTTAGTGTTTATAAGGAAAGTACGAAAATAATTTTGAAATGTGACAGCCGTGTAATGCAAGCGTAGTAGATGTAAATACTGATTCATTCATAAAACGCATGCTTGCTCCTCAAATAAATGTACTCGCACAAACCATCCCCACTTAAATTAGCAGCTGTCCCCTTCTTTCTAATGCAGCATAATAATAAACACAATCTGAATGTTTGCAATAAAAAAGGGCTTAATTATGAATGAATGGATTAGTCTAGTAGTTTCTCGTCGTTGATTTGGATCTTCTTCAAAAGTTAATAGAATATTTGTTTTTGTTTCGTCATTTACAGAGGAGCGACCTGATTTGGGTGTATTGTCTACCATACCAGTGTCATAAAATTTCTTTTCAGTCTGTTGACTTCATTATGGGTCTTTCTAGATATCTATTATTGAATAAATTACACACTTTCATCTGAGTTTGCGATCTGTTAGAGTAACCAATCATCATAAGTATATCAATTCTTTTCTTAAAACTTAAATTTACTTTTCAAATTAACATATAACGATAATTAGCCAAGTTGTTTTTCAGTAGATAAGAAATATTTATTTTATTAGCACGTATCTTGCAGTTTTTGTCCATTAGACCCTAAGTTTATAGAGGGTATTGTATTTAAAAAAAATACCTATGACGTCATTACATTAACGTATAATGAACTTTTTGTACAATGCAGAAAATTATTGTCTAAAATCGACTGTTCCAGGTTGTTTTAAAAATGTCATTGGTTTAGGAAGCAATTAATTTATTCCACACTTTATGGACACACTGTATACTAAACATATTTTAATTAATACGTAATGAAAATAATTTTAAATTTAGTTATTTATGATTCTACCTTTTGCTGCCACAAGTTGTGGATGTCAACTGATGACAATTAGTACGAGTGTCAATTATGTCAAACTTCCAATTTAGCATAGTGAGAATTAAAACAGGTTTAAATCACTTTAGGATGTCTCTAATAAAGGCGAAATATGAGTTGAATTATTCCTGAATGAAAACAAGACTAGCTTTCTATGTTCTAAAATAAAATAAAACTTGCAAGAAATACAAAATGTTGATTTTTAATACTAGCTATATATGTGCATATAATCACCTCTTTGAATTCCTGTTAAAAATTTTGATGTTATAAACTTTAAAACCAGTAATAATTTTGTTTTCACTTTGGGGGGTTCAAAAATATTTTTCATTATACTGTAGGGGTAATTTTAAATTAATTCCAAAGAATTTATATAAGAATATTTGTTTAAAAAATGCGCATCTTTCTCCCATTAAACCAACTTTATATCTTTCATGCGAGCTTCCTCTAATGGGTCATTGAAATTTACATCACCTTGTACGAATGAATTCATAGATTCAAATATCGAAGTGAAGATACACAGTTTTTGGGGTTATTTACAATGTCAGGTTGACTATTTTAAGTCATGCTTGGATGTTGCCTTCTCAATGTTTGAATTATTATTATTTTTGTATTCTTAAATAAAACAAGTTAAAATAAATTAATAATAGAATTTATATTAATGTTCAATATTTTTATACCATACCATAAATATTTTATATCGAATTTATTTTCCTATTGGAAATAACTGAATAGTTATTTTCAAGAAAAGAACTAGTAATAAACACTGGTGAAATAAGACCAGATGAGACCAAAGTTAATCAAGTAGTGAGACATTGATTCTATAATATATCTCCTACTCATTTCAACATTCATGTTGGTGATATCATGCAGGAAGTCAAATAGATAGATACACATTACTGAGTACTTTCCTGAGTAAATAATGTTGATATTACCTTAGCAAGTAGGTACATTACCGAGTACATTAGGGAATACATTACTTAGTATATTACTGAGTACAATACTGAGTACAATACTGAGTACAATACTGAGTACAATACTGAGTACAATACTGAGTACAATACTGAGTACAATACTGAGTACAATACTGAGTACAATACTGAGTACAATACTAAGTACAATACTGAGTACAATACTGAGTACAATACTGAGTACAATACTGAGTACAATACTGAGTACAATACTGAGTACAATACTGAGTACAATACTGAGTACAATACTGAGTACAATACTGAGTACAATACTGAGTACAATACTGAGTACAATACTGAGTACAATACTGAGTACAATACTGAGTACAATACTGAGTACAATACTGAGTACAATACTGAGTACAATACTGAGTACAATACTGAGTACAATAGTACAATACTGAGTACAATACTGAGTACAATACTGAGTACAATACTGAGTACAATACTGAGTACAATACTAAGTACAATACTGAGTACAATACTGAATACATTATTGAGTAAATTACTTAGTGCATCACTGGTACATTACTGAGTAAATAACTATATTTAAATCAAAATCTCATTTTTAACAGTTTTCGGTTTCTTCCTTAATTTTGACCTATGGCGATATGTATCCTTCTTGAGTTATACAAATGTTTTCAACTAAAATATTCAAAAGCTTGTAGCATGTATGCCGTTGTACTGCAGGGAAGTATTCTGGGGTCCATCTTATAACTATTGTAGACAACATATATGCCTATAGCTGAGAATATGATTACAGCAACATACCCCGAAAATCCTGTCATACTGGCAGTCCACTGATCCAAATGTTGCAAAATTATTTGCATAATCCAAATATATGGTGCAGGTTATGAAGGGAAAAGGTAAATAGCACTAAATCACAAAATATTACATTTATATTAAAAACCGGGAATATTCCTGCTATATCTATAAATAACGTGCTACTGCCGATTAATACTTTAAATAATTACCTAGAAACTAATCTTGATAGTCACCTTAAGCCTTGGTTTCTTTGAACACTCCGTCGCGGTAAGCGGACAGTCCGTCGACCGTCGCGTATTGACGATTTTATCCATCCAGAGTAATTAAATAGGAATGGTTTCCTTGAATCCGCTTAGCTGAGCTTCATGCCGCTGATTTGTCGCGACTAGTCGGTTCATATCTGTCGAGTTTGATATTAGTGGAATCGTTGGCGTGTGCGGAGACAGTTTATGAATACAAATAATTATATTGTTATTATTTTTAAAACATTGTGTGACAAATTCACATATACAGATGACTTTATGACTTTATTTGTAGGTTTCTTGGAAATGTCGTTCTTTATAAAACTCAACACGAATTCAAAAAAATCTGTAGAAAGTCTAAAATACACCCTTTTGGTTTCATTTCCAAAAAGCCTCCGATGCACAGTGGTATTAAAGGTACCTTCTCTGTATCGCGACACAAAAACAACTTATCCACTGGCTTATTGGAAACTTTGACATTTGTAATTCCCCAGTTCCTCTTGTTCTTCCAACAATAATAACAACGCAAACAATTCATTTGCGTTCATTTTAGTACCTTTCGTTTACATTCATAATACATAAACAGCACGTACAGATATAGAGAAGGTGTCATTTTCTATATTTAACAAACCACCTCGGGCGAAAATCGCTGTCCTCAGCGGTCGACGGACTGTCCGCTCATCGCGACAAAGTGTTCAAAGAAACCAAAGCTTTAAATGAAGTAAGCATGCACCGGCCAAATTACTTTAACTGGGATTGAAATATATGTAGTATATAATGTATTGGTTTATGAACATCACATGAAAACTTAGCTGGTATAACAAACTCCTTAAGTATAAGAGTGTTCTGAGACCCATTTAGATGTTCGGTATCCAGATATCACACACTGCTAGTGATTGAAATATGAAGATTCAACAGTTCTAATCTAAATTTGGTCTCCAACAAATATGTAACACCGTATGGTATGATCCAAACCACGTCATATATCTAGGAACCCACCAGGTACCCATCTAAACATACTAGAGATAAACCTAAATGAACAACCGAAAATACTTTTCCTGTAGTCAAGGAATAAAAATAGGATCTATTAGACCTCTACGCACTTAGAACATATCAAACTGGGTAAAGTAGTCTCCAAAAAAGGACATGAAAGAGGGCATTCCCACTATTACATTGTTTTTTCTTTTTTTATGATATTTAAATACCGACGCTGGTGAGCACACTACCCCCAATTACCAAAATTTAGCCGAAACTCCTGGTGTTCCAACCAGAGCCCAACATTCATGGACTCTAGACGCGACGGCTTTACATATCCTCAGAAAGATTGCATACTCCACGCTATACCTCGTACTCATTAAGGTAATGCCTGCCTGCTGTGGTATGCAACAAAGCGAGCAGTTTGTTCGGAAGTACGCCGCCTTTTATTGGAATGGTCACGCATCCAACTACTAACTGCGCTGGGCCTAGCTTGACTGCAATAAGTGAACCTGCTAAGCCCAGCCCTTGTTTTTTTTTTATTTAAAAAATAAGTTAAAAAAAATCGTTTCAAAAATATTAAAATGATATTTAGAATTTTCTAAAGTTTATACAGTTAGTCAAAATAACCCACTAACTTTTACTGTGAAGCTAAACACCTAATTATTATATTTTAAAGACTTGTTTAGTGAATATGGGAGTAGTTTGTTATTGCATATTATATTGGGTTAGGTAATAGATATAATAAACAAAAAATGGGTTGGGAGTAGATATTTTCACTAGAAACAACCTTTGTTCCAAATTCAAATTCATCATTCAGTCCACCACAGCCACTATCATACCTAATGTTCACTCCCTAGAATGCTCATCTCATTTGCTGCGATCTGTGTTTTTTTCCATTAAATATATTGATCAATTTTTTTAGATTTTCCTATCAGACTACTTATATTCCATATCCGATAAGCCAACGATACGTTGTTTATACCTATTGGTAAGAGGATATTAAGCAGCCATGAGTTAGTAATTTAGATTTAGAAATATATTAAACCTATACATACGCATATGTCGTCATTTGTGTATTTGCTTTAAACCCAAAAATCTAGGGATTTTTTCAGTTGCTACCAAGAAAGTTGCTTAGAACAAGGTCACTTCATATACTTATTATTACTTTGAGATTATCAGAATTCTCTATGCAACAATTTATTTGGGAAAGTGATTTGAAAGTAAACAAATGCTGTTGGAGGTTAAACGTAACAACTAGTTTCTTGAAAAAAATATCGACCCTTAAATAATAAATATATTAATTGACCAAGAAATTAATGGGGGGTATGTTTATTGATAAGAAAATAGGAACCTATCAGAACTTAATGTGTACTTTTTTTTTCTAGACTTTAGCAAAGACTTCGATTTCCTGCTTGCGATGTGTAAGGTGGGGAAATGTCTGATGGTGATAAAATTGTATTTTGGTGAAATTTTAGAACCAAGTACATTTTTTATTTTTTTAACCAAAAATGTATAATTCACAAATATTAAATATCAGTCCCAGGTTCATAGACAATACGAACCGTGGTCCCGGCCATGGAGGTATGAGTTTATTGATGACTTTGTCTTTTGCCAAAGTCATGCAGTTGCTATAAAAGTGGTAAGATAGTAAGGTATTAGAATGTTGACAGATAATAACAGTAGTTATACAAGGGGCGTTTGATTTGAAACTCGATCGAGCAAGCGTCGAGGAGACCGAGAAGTGATGACGTCACAATAGAGCATTGAATTAAATAAAATAAAACAGAGTAAAAAACATAACCTCGCTTTTTTGTGATTCTTGTTTCTGGTTTGTATGTTAAAATAGTGAGCAAAAAGTAAAGAAAATGGAAAAACTTTTAATAATAAGGGGTAATGGCCCTGAAATGCAGCATTTATCACAAATGCCCGCTTCGCTCTCATACTCCATGACTGTGATTACCGGTGATTAGATCTGGACAGAAAAAATATATTTTCCAAACACACATTTTGTGTTTTTTTATGATGAATAATTTTAGCTTTAAGACAAAAGCGGCTAAGTAATTTGTTGACTTCTGTCTGGTCTTTAATTTTGAGATTCAAATTTGTAAGTTAATTAAAAAGAGATAGGTAGAGACAAAGACAAATTTCTCCCTCTTCTCGATCTTTCTGCTCTGAGAACATCGAGCTCGCTCTATGTTCTCGCTCCAAAGCGAAACAAACACTTTAGGGATCTCTCGGAGTGTCAATTCAAACACTTTTGAAGCGCTCGGAGATCTCCGATGATCAAATCAAACGCACCAACAATATACTACATGAAAATGAACAATGTATATTGAGGATCAACCTTTAAGGGTCGGACATGTTACTGAACTTTTTGTCAAAATTCTACTGAAAGTCAAACTGGCATTTCACTTGGGGGGTTTGAGTTTAGAAATTCGAAAAGGGCCAAAAAATCATTAACTATGTCCACTGCTTCTCCAAGTGCAAGACAATCTCGACAACCATCTCAACAACAGTCTCGACAACAATCTCGACAACAGTCTCGACTACAGTCCCAAGCACAGGGCGGTGCAGATTCCGATAATCCCGAAGATGATAAACCCGAAACGATTTGTGAACGACTAGAGGGTTTGCTGGAGATGTTTCCACCAGCAGTTATTGACTGCATCTGCTCGGCTAAAGAGAACACCTTAAATGGAGTGAGATGCGCCTACAGCTGCGCCAGAACTGCTATTTGGATTATGTTCAGTTCGTCTATCATTCTGATTTCGCCTGTCATTTTCGAAGTGGAGAGGGTGCAGATGGAAGAGATGCAAAAGAGCCAACATAAACAGTTACTATTAGGACCTAATTCGGCTATATCAGCGGGCGTTCCACCATCTATTTTACCTTTGAAAAATTAAGATATTTTTGAACCGAATTTATTGTATACAAATACCTGTTTTGTAATTTTTATGGGTTCGGATATTTTTTTAAATAGACAAGTTTTATTAAACAGTAATGTTAATTTTGCTTCTTTTTCAAACATTTAGGATTTCATTTAGAGATGTAGTGAAGAAAAAATATTAGAGGGGTACCAAAGAACACGAAATTTTTTTTTTGCAGAGCTTGCATTTTTCCCTTTATAGCTCGGGATCCAAATAGTGCATCTACAGTACCACAAAATTTGTACATAACCTCAATTTTTTAACAGTTTGGGTTAGCATGAAAGTAGGTATCTAAAATAGAGAAAACCACGGTTTGTAGACTGACTGGGTGGCCTCTTCCGTCCGTTGCTAAAGAACGGTGTGACGTCACGGAATGAAAAATCGCGCTGACAGAAAATATTCTGCTCCGGTTCGTAGATTAGCTTTTTAAAAAATCTAATATTTTATTAATATTTAGTGGTGTTTATATTTTTATTATTGGACTATTTATCTGTGTTTGAGTTTTTATAATATCAGTAGTTTGACTTTTGAAAATATATGCTACAAAAAAACAAGGAAAAATTATGTAATGATTTCAAATTAATTACAGATAGGAAAGTATAGGAATCATAATTTTTTTGGTCTCGAGTTTTCGACGAATTTTTACATTTTATGGTCCCCTGAATCTGTTTTGACTATTTTTGAGATGATTTCTGATGTGTGTGATAAAAGTGGGCATAGTAGGAACATCTGGGGGGTACTTTATAGGTAGTCGTTTTTCTATTTTATGGAATATTTCTGTTATTTACACTTGGAGAAAAAATTGTTTAAAAAAAAAGTTGCCTGTAATAATATTCTCTATAATTTTTGTTTTGTAGAAAATTTTCCTAAAATGGCCCGTATTCGAGAAATTTGACAAAAAATTAAAAAAATAATTTTTGAAGAAAATTGTTTGAATAAAAGTTATTTATTATGTTCTTTTCTATAATTCTTCTCCCATACATAATTTCTCTAAAATGGACCGTATTCGAGATATTTGGGAAAATGTATAAATTTAGAATTTTGAAGATAATTTAAACTTTAAACTTTAAAATTTATGCTTTAGTTCATCCAGTGAACTGATTAAATTTTGGGCATAGTCTACAAACCGTAAGACAGAACATGGAGAAAATTGGTATCACTGGGGAAATTGGTATCACTGAGTAGACAGATGACATATTTGACAGTTAACATTGATTACGTAAATAATATGGTGCATTTGGGTATTAGGACATGGAGGAAATAATACACATACTATTCAAAGTATGTGAAATAATATCACAGGTGACAGGACACTGGCGTCTAACTTCATTAATATTAAATAGATTCGAATGGGGTAAACGACAGTAAATTTTAAATGTCATATACTTAACAATAAACAACAAAACATAGTACAGTATTGTTTAAGAGGCGATAATATCCATCTTCATTATTGATAATTCAATTTGTACGGGGTAAACGATATTCTTATAGATGCAATAAATAATGACAAAATGTGCACAGTAGCATTATAAAGAGGGCATTAACGTATAACTATTACTAAATTTTAAAGACTAATGTCATGTGCTATATACTAATGTTGACTATGGCATTCGTTGTGCGCTTTTGGTATTTTTTTTTAAATTTGTCAACGATTCTCGTTAATTTTGAAATCGTTATCTCATATGACATGCTAATCATGAATATTTCATTCGATGCCTCATCGAAAAATTGATGGTGAGCTAGAAGAAAGGGTGATATGTCAAATGAAGTAGTAGAACGGAAGGATCGTATTTTTTGGAAAACACTTAAAATGCATGCAAACCAAAAAATAATGCTTAATTCTGGATCATGACGTCGCATATTATCCAAGAGCATACAAATCTTATATACCATATTTTTTTTTCAAATTTTGGTAAGTAACGTAACGGAGATACGGGCATGTGATATATCAAATTAAACGGTAAAACGTGAGACCGTGTATTTGCTGCCATCGACGATATGAGTAGTTTTTGGAATTGCTATAAATTGCAATTTTTGGAAACTTACTTTGATAATCTAAAGATATTTACATTAATTTAGTGATTCTTTTCAAGTCGTCACCAGTCTAGCTTTTATGATTTCTTTTGTATTAAATCCCGATAAACATTTTTAAAAAATAAGAGGGTGCCGAACTTATTACTACACTAATGAAATTGATATTGCTTTAGAATATTATTGTGAAAGTTTTTCTAAACAAATTTTATAGTTTATTCTGATATCATGGTGGGTCGAAAAGTCTCATTAATATAGTCTATACATCATTAAAGATTCACTGCGAAAATATATAATGACCAAAAATGATCAGTGGTTCCCAGGCAAGAAGATGTTTGTTTTATCTTCTTATTTATGATCTGAAATCATCAACTGGACATTACACAATATACTAGTGACTTGTTTGTCACTTAAATTAAATTCCTTTCTATCCGTCCATCCTATGTCTTCGAAATATTTTATCATCAATATTAAATATTTATGGTAATATTAAAAATCAATAAATAAAAATTGATCTAAATTGACAACTGTGACTGGTTTCTACATTTAATAATATAATTTGATTTCATTTGAAAAGAGCAACATTTTTCAGTACTCAAATAGTCATCCAGAAGTTTTCGAAATAATTTTTAATGAACATGCTAAAAATGAAACAAACTTTTCTAAAACAGATATCGTTTCAATTAAAATTAGGCCAGTCGGCAGCTCTTTAAAAGAAAAACACGGTGCAAAAGCAACAACTGAGGGTAGTAGAAAATTGACTTTAACGACCGGACTATGTGTGTTTCTAAATATTTCGAAAAAGGAGTTGTAATATATAAATTACATACATCAAAATGGATATTACATTACAGTAATAATGGAACAACTTAAATGCTAAATTACAACCTAATGAAATTTAGAGATTGTTTATTGCTTTTTATCAGGTCATTTTGATTTTGTTTCTTTTTTCAAAAAGATAATTTGTTGTATTTCAGAAAAAATAGCTCAATGTTTGATTTTCAAAAATTCGTTTAAAATGTTTTTACAGTGTGTTTTGTTTGTGCCCAGTTTTAAACGCCAGAAAATAAGTTTCTCAGTTTTTCTATATACTTTATTTCCCAGAGAGAAAAATTTATTTTTGCAATATTTTTCGATTTCAAAAATAAGGTCAACAGCATTTTGAGTTTTAGAATGTGGTTCTGTGTAGTTCCGATATCTTGTTCCAAAACGGTACCATCTATTGTAACATTGATTCTTTAGCGGCATATATACGTCAAGGACAATTTTTATTTCCAATTATACATAGTGATCCATAAACAGTGTTATATTAAAGTTATGTCTTTTTTAAAACAGGAAACTATATTTTATTACGTTTTTGAAATCCTTAAGGTGATTACAGCACCCCTTATACTTTTCGGACGAGCATATCTCAAAAAGTATTTTTTTAATAAATTAAAATTTTGGTAAAATAAATTAGGCAATAATATTTAGAATACGCATATATTTCAAAGTTTTAATTCCTTCCAGTTTCCAAAAAAAAAAATCAAAGGGCTTTAAATTTTGAAATATCATAATGAAAATTAATGCATTCCTCAACAGCACTGTTCTTAATATAATACACAAATTTAAGCTCTTAATGCCTTGTTAATGATTTTTTAAAATTCGCCAAAATTAGTGGGTAAACGCCTCGTTAAATGCTATCTTCTGGTGTAAACTGGTGTAAATCGTTACAAGAATCTAATGATGAATGAGAGTGTACGATACGAGAGTTACAGACGCGTTACACCAGAAAGCAGCACTTAACGAGACGTTTTAGCCACTAATTTCGGCGTATTTAAAAAAAAAAAACATTAGCAAGAGATTAAGAGCTTAAATTTAAGGATTATATTAAGAATAGTGCTGTTGAGGAATGCATTTATTTTCATTATGATATTTCAAAATTTAAAGCCCTTTGATTTTTTTCTTGGAAACTGGAAGGAATTAATTATGTTTTTAATTTTTTTAAAAAATTACTTTTTCACCTTAAGTAGAAACTCATATTTTTTATTTTATATTTGGAATCGTGGAACATTTCTAAAAGGAATTCCAAAATAAAAAATTTTTGTCGCCTGTCCAAATGGGTGCCATATTGGAAAATATTATTTTTCATAAAGTTGAATAGTTATTGGGAATATGAGAGATTCTAGGTCCCATAAATTATGAATTATTTGAAATTACCTAAATCAGAATTAAAATTTCATTCATTTTGATTAAATTTCTATTCTATTACTTTTTACTATAAAAAGATTACTTACAAATTTCATATTCTTTTCCAAAAGATACTGCACACCAAATCAAAATAAATAATATTTAAGATAAGCTTTTAAATCTGGTAATATACTAAGAAAATTCTGAAACAAACGTTAAGTATCCAATATTTTCTGGCGTTGATAAAATGTAAATTAAGTGTCATTCTGCCCTCAGTTATCACCGCAAAAAAAATGATAATAATATGCCGACTAGCCTCTATTTTTAGTTAAATTCCAAGCAAATATATACGAGTAAATTAAGTACCTACAGTAAAAAATTGTAAGCCACTGGTGTCACATTAAATCTTTATTCTGTGATACTCATTAACGACTTTAAATCATGGCGAAAAGTAGCTAAATTGGGAATTAGAACAATAATATATATTTTCGTGAAAAACTGATTACGAAAATTTTATAAAATAGCTGCTTGGCGCCATTTTTTCACCTATTGGTGTAATGTGAGTTGTAAAAATGTAATAAAACAAAATTTTTTTAAATGTATCGGTACGAACACGGTCAATGCACGGTCAAATCTGGCGAGATACCAAACTAACAGAAAAATGTTATATTTTTAAAGGAATAAAACTTCTACGGATCAGGCGAACCCACTAAATTGCCATTTTCGGCCAAATAAAATTGAGGAGCTGACTCTTGTTAAAGGCGACTAAATAAATT